GCTAAATGCTTTACGGTCATAAACTGCTTCCTTCGCTTTTGAAAATTGTTTAACTTGCCTGCCTTCCAGCTAGGTAAGGCCAGGGGACATGTGGAGTTGGCCACGCCCCTAGTTATGCTAGAAACAGTCAAATCTTATCAGAACATAACTTACCAGGTTTTACACTAAAGTTAAAATTGCTAAGAGTCGGGTCAGGTACAGTGGCTCACATCTGTAATCCCAGCACTTTGGGAGGCTGAGGTGGGCGACTCCTGAGGTCAACAGTTTGAGACCAGCCTGGCCAAAATGGTGAAACCCCATCTCTACTGAAATACAAAAATTAGCTGGGCGTAGTGGTGGGCTCCTGTAACCCCAGCTACTCGGGAGGCTGAGGCAGGGGAATTGTTTGAACCCTGGAGGCGGAGATTGTAGCGAGCCAAGATTGCGCCATTGTACTCCAGCCTGGGCCACAGGGCAAGGCTCTGTCTCAAAAAAAAAAAAATTGCTAAGAGTCATCATTGTAACACGCAATAAGACTACCAGAAACAGGTCAGGCATGATGGTTCATGCCTGTAATCCCCCAACACTTTGAGAGACCAAGGAGAGCGGATTACTTGAGGTCAGCAGTTCGAGATCAGCCTGGCCAACAAAGTGAAACCCCATCTCAGCTAAAAATATAAGTTAGCCAGGGGTGGTGGTGGGCACCTGCAATCCCAGCTACTTGGGAGGCTGAGGCACTAGAAACACTTGAACGGGGAGCAGAGGTTGCAGTGAGCCAAGATCACGCCACTGCACTCCAGCCTGGGGCAACAGAATCAGGCTCCATCTAAAAGAAAAAAAATAACCGTCTCTACTGAAAAATACGAAAAACTAGCTGGGCAAGGTGGCAGGTGCCTGTAGTCCCTGCTACTTGGGAGGCTGAGGCAGGAGAATGGCGTAAACCCGGGAGGCGGAGCTTGCAGCGAGCTGAGATCGCGCCACTGCACTCCAGCCTGGGCGACAGAGCAAGACTCTGTCTCAAAAAAAAAAAAAAAAAAAAAGACTACTAAAAACAGTTTTACATGCAAGCTGTGTAAAAATAGTAGAAAAAAAAATTTTTTCTTTTTGGTAAAAGGTTATAAAAAGTTTTTCTTCTTTAAAATTTCTAGGCCAGGCGCAGGGGCTTACACCTATAATCCCAACACTTTGGGAGGCCAAGGCAGGCAGATCACCTGAGGTCAGGAGTTCGAGACCAGCCTGGCCAGTGTGGCCAAACCCCATCTACGAAAACATACAAAAAATAGCTGGGTGTGGTGGCATGCACCTGTAATCACAGCTACTCAGGAGGCTGAGGCAGGAGAATTGTTTAAAACTGGGTGGCAGAGGTTGCAGTGAGCCGAGATCACACCACTGCACTGTAGCCTGGGTAACAGAGCAAGACTCTGTCTCAAAAAAAATAAATAAAATAAAATTTCTGAGTCATCATTTTGGCAAAATATATAATGTATGGTAATCTGGAATTCCAAAATCAAACTTCAGTTTCAAAATTGTCTTTCCAAATGCCTGACTTTCTGGATGGATCAGAGGATCCCTGAAAACATCCAGAAAAGAGGTAAACAGGATTATTCGACATGTTTAGGTACATGGGATTGCCAAAACGATGTTCAATCTTCTTTAGGTTATATTTTTGTTAATAATACTATGTTCCAAAATTGTATGGGATTTCTAAAATTCTAATGTCTAAGTATATGCTATCAACTATAATTATTATGTTAAGTTATTGTAAATCACAGAAATAACCAAATCAAACCAGTTGATACTAAAATTGTTTAAAATAGTTTATAACTAATATTTGGTGCCATATTAATGGGAAGACAATTAAAGCTTCACGCACATTTGGTCACCTGGTGCACCATTTAAACATTTTATAAAGTGGTTTCATCCCACTGCTATCTGGTTGTATAAAGCTTTCCCATGCAAGAGGGCTGATGTTGTAACAGTAGATTTCTATGCTACAGTGTATTTTCACCAGGTAAAAAAAGCTTTTTATCATTTGAATCTTCTGAGAACATTAGAGAAAGACTGTCCTTCCCATCCACACTACAACAAAACTTTGGGACCTTGGGCTTTGGGTTCATGGTCTCGCAACTGAGAGGGGTCCCTCCACGCTTTTGGAACTGCATCCGTTGGAACCTTTGAGATAAAGCTAACCAGGGCAATTTCTCCCAAGAAGATAGCATCCTTGATGTGAACAGCTTTTCCAAGTTCACAGATTAAGACTTCTACTATCATGAAACTCTTATCTTTGAATATTTTTTTCTTGCCTACATCTCTACGAACAATAGAAGTGGAAAAGGGGTCCGTTATGTGCATTTATGGGGTATACTTTTATTTATGAAGGAGCCTGCAGCCAGCCTTCTACCTGGATAACCTTATACTTTGACAGATAACAAATGAAGGCCCAATGTAGGTAAGAAACCTTAACGGTACATACATTGCCTCATAATCAGTCAAAAACAAAACACTGGTTCTCTCCTCTTAACCCACATCATGGGTTAAAGAGAACATTGCCAGGAGGCCTTCACTCTTCTAGAAGGGCATCAGTTATTTGGCTCTTTTTCCATGGTTTAAAGTGAAAGAAGCAATGATTAGAAATTTATCCCTCGTGATAGGCTGTATAGCATATTCTACTTTAAAAGCTATATCACACAACAGACTTTAAATTCTCTTGTGAAAGTTACACTAAATAATAGAATTGGCTAAACAGAGAAGTATCTGTGCAGCTGCTGGCACCTGTGGCCTATGGAGAAATACAGATTGCATATTATAAAAATTCAATTGCAGGGGATTAATGAAAAGATCACTTAATCAGCTGGGCGCAGTGGCTCACACCTGAAATCACAACACTTTGAGAGGCTGAGGCAGGTTGATCACCTGAGGTCAGGAGTTCGAGACCAGCCTGGCCAACATAGTGAAACCTCATCTCTACTGAAAAGACAAAAATTAGCTGGCCGTGGTGGTGGGCACCTGTAATCCCAGCTACTCATGAGGCCGAGGCAGGAGAATCGCTTGAATCTGGGAGGTGGAGATTGCAGTGAGCCGAGATTGTGCCATGGCACTCCAGCCTGGGTGACAGAGCGAGACTCCATCTCTTTAAAAAAAAAAACATGTGGTCAAGCAAGTAGACTCTTCATCCAGGTCATTCTTTAATCTATGTAATTTTAGGTGGTTTGGTATGGGGACCCGGGTAAGGATCATACTCTGAACTCTTGGTATTATCCTCCCAACGGTCATAATAATCGTCTCCCTGAAGTGCTGTATTGTCTCAAAGGTTTTAAATGCTTGCATGCAGCCATCTCTAGAATGTCATATTATCTCTCTTCAACTGGAATGACAAGAGCTGAAGGAAATGTGCAACCATGGGGCTTAACCTATAAATGACGTGCTGAGACTGGAAACGAAAATGATGGTAACTGAGAGTGGTCCTACAGCCCTAAGTTTTGGTCATACTCTCACCTAAGTGAGAATCTGAACAAAAAGGGGGAATTTTTTCAACAAAATCCTGGGAGGCCATTGTTTTGGACTAAGTTCATCCACTGGGCCCCAACAGACCAAACCAAACCAAAACGGGGTTGTTTGTGCTAAGACTTTAAGGAAACACATGGGTTCTAGAACAGACAAGGTTTTTTTTCTTCTGCAAATCTCTGTAACAAACATTTCTGATAGCATAGGCATCTACCTCTGAAGTTCCCATTAAATCTTTTAACCAAATTCATTCCCTCTCACCTAGAGACCATCAAGCTTGGGACCTGTAGTCCCAGCTACTCTGGAGACAGAGGTGGGAGGATCACTTGAGCCTGGGAGGTTGAGGCTACTGTGAGCTGAAATCACACGGCTATATTCCAGCCTGGATGACAGAGTGAGACTCTATCTAAAAAGTTTTTTAAAAAATAATAAATTAGCTATACAGGGACACAGTAAGTGAACAAGCAGATAACAGGACAGTGAGGAACTTCTAATAATCAAAAAATGCGGGCCGGGTGTGGTGGTTCACACCTGTAATCCCAGCATTTTGGGAAGCCAAGGTGGGAGGATCACTTGAGGTCAAGAGTTCAAGACCAGCCTGGGCAACAACAGTGAAGCCGTCTTTACAAAAAAAAAAAGAAAAGAATTAGCCAAGCATGGTGATGTATGCCTGTAGTCCCAGATACTCAGGAGGATGAGGCAGGAGTATTTGCTTGAGCCTAGAAAGCGCAGGTTGCTGTGAGTCAAGATCACACCACTGCACTCTAGCCTGGATGACTGAGTGAGACCCTGTCTCAAAGAAAAAAAAATTTTTTTTTAATTTCTCGATCACCTGACCTTGTGATCCACCCACCTCGGCCTCCCAAAGTGCTGGGATTACAAGCGTGAGCCATTGCACCTGGCCCCTCTTTTTCTTTTTTTTGTTTTTTTTTTTGAGACAGTATCTTGCTCTGTCAACCAGGCTGGAGTGCAATGGCACGATCTTGGCTCACTGCAAACTCCACCTCCCAGGTTCAAGCAATTCCTCTGCTTCAGCCTCCCAAGCAGCTGGAATCACAGGCATGTGCCACCATGCCCAGCTAATTTGTGTGTGTGTGTGTGTGTGTGGGAAACCAGTTCACGTTTAATTGTGACATTTTAAAATTGTACAAGTATTTTGGTATCTGCCCCCCACATTTAGTCTTAAAATGACAGGAAAACAACCAATCACAGGTTTAATACATTTATCTCTTCAGTTCCTATTTGCAGCACCCAATATTCCTTTGAAATATGAAACAGACCTGGCAGTAGCCAACAGTACATTTCTGCCCACCGCCTCCCACCCCCAACGGAGTTGAAAAGTTCAGGTTTAGTGTTGTTGCAGTGGCACTTGTCCATAATTGGTACCTCCCCATAGTTGGGGGACATTAAATGTACCAGTGAAAATAGCTTTTTCCCCTTCAAGGGGAAGAAAATCACTCCTCAAAACCCAGCAGAACTGGCTGTGAGGTCTTTCCTCCTATCTCATCTCTTCAGGGTTTTTTTTTTTTGCAGTGGAGCAAGAGACCAAAACCTAACCTGAGTTACAAGAAACAAGACAGTAATGGCTATAAAGGGAGTGACCAGGAGCAACGGGGACACTCCTTTACCTCCCATATCCAATGTATGTGCTTCACAGAAAAAAAAAGAAAATAACAAATCCACAAAATACAACAGCTAGAATTACAAAATCCATTCATCCAAGGGTGGTGGAAGGCAGGATGGAAAGGTGGAAGGGTAAATGGCACAGGGAGAAAAACAAAGTATTCAAATTAGTCCAGGCACGAGGACTGGCAAATGCTAGAAAATAGCTGCAGAAAAACTTGTGGTCCTTTCAGACTCACACTGATGTTAAAAATCCACACACTGGTGTCAGGGAACATTCTGCCTTACGTGTACCAGAGACAAAAATTTCAGTTCCTCAGAGAGAAGGGAATATGCAGAGGGCCCTTGGCAGAGTGGGTCCTGCCTTCCCTGGCAGGGGGAGGTGAATAGGGAAAAGAGCTGCCACAGCTTTCTTCCAATCCTGCCCATTCCATTTGGATGGCAGGCAACTCAGTGGCCTACAGCAGCCTTCAGTTTGGCAGGCGACAGATGCGGTGAAGGGAACTTCTCTGCAGAAGTGGAGCTGCTCGGGGCCGACTGCAGATAGACTGTCTTGTGGAAGAGTCTGTTGCTTAAGAAGACCACCAAGGAGAAGAGGCGCAACTGGAAGAGATATGCTTTGCCAGGGGTCTTTGCTTCATTGGTGCTGATAATGAATAAAGGAAAGAGGATAGAGAAAAGGCAGCCTCTGATAATATATGAGGACTGCACTGCTGTGAGAAAAGCCAAGGGCAGACCAAACCCAAAGTAGTAAGGCCAATTCCTTTCTATGTTAGGCAACTGCTGGTGCATTTCACTTCCCTTATTGAACCAACGATATTCCAGGCAGTACAGTGAGTAGAGAAGGGACATATGCAAGAGACTACTGACCAGCTGACTGACAAGATGGATGGGAAAGAGACTCACAAACATTCCCTGAACGAGGAAAAGAGCCTGCAGCAAAAGGTTGAAGAGCACATCAGCAATTATTTTGCTGACACTTGGGAATGGGTGAGGCTTCCTCCCTGATACCTCAAATGCCAGATCAGCTATATCCTGAAACCAAATGGCATTCACCACTTTGCTAAGCACAAACAAGGGGAGCACCCAAAGAGCACTGAAAATTGACATGAGGAAGAATTCCAGCCACAACCAAACATCTCCATGTAGTGATGGGTCATCGATAATTTGAGCTGTTACTGACTGAAGCACAGGAATAAATACTCGATAAAACAAGAGGAGACTGAACCAGAACACTCCACCATTCCAAGCACAACACTGGAAAATTCTACTAACAATATGTGGCTCACTCTCTTGCTTCTGTTCTATACTCTGGGCTCTTCTCTGTGCCAAGACACTACTTGCCCTTCTTCGAGGCTGCTCCTCTCTTTTTTGCTGGATTCGAGCATCTAGCTTTGAGATGGTACAAATATCCCAGATGGAGTCTTTGATTCCTCTGGCAAGGTCCTGGAGAAAGGTTTTGACACTGTCAGCCATCTCTTCACCACCAAACTATCAACTACACAGAGGAGAGAGAAGTGTCCCCAAATCTCTCATCATGAAGGATCCGCGGCTCCGGCCCGGCCCCTCACTCACCGCGGCTGGCTCTGCCGGGGCGCTTCCAGGGCCGGGGCCACTGTGCCCACACTGGGCTTGCCCGGGCCGCATGGGGCTAATTTTTATATTTTTAGTAGAAACGGGGTTTCACCATGTTGGCCAGGCTGGTCTTGAACTCCTGGCCTCAGGTGATCCACCCACCTCAGTCTCCCAAAGGGCTGGGATTATAGGCGTGAGCCACCACACCCGGCCTAGGCATTGGTTTTATTATGACATTCAGAAGTGCTCTCACAAAGCTAAACATATATATAACAAAGTATACCGGCTATAATTTGCTATCTGGTATAGATTTCTCAATCCATCTCATTCTGTAACAAGCCTCTCAAAATTTAAAGTATCCTTGACACACTGAATTTTAAGAAAAGGGGAGTAGAAACAGTACAGCACTAGAGGAGACCCAGGTTTGAGTCATAACTCTGCCATCTCTGTTTGTGTCAAAAGCTCTCTGAACATTAGTCTCCTTATCAATAAAATGTGGACATACATCACCTATCTTTCAGGATTGTGAGAATTCAGAATCGAACCTATTCTGCAAGAGAAGGCAATGTAATCCTTATTAAAACTGTTCTTCGAGGGTTTGAGCATTTAACATCATGACTTAGACCTATGTTTGCCCAAGTTCATCCTGCTACTAATTTGTTATTAATTTATAGTGTAATCCTGGGATGTCACAACCTCTCTGGACCTGAGTTTCTTCATAAAATGAGATCCTTTCTTTCATTAACATGGGATCCCACTTGTCTGAAGAGGACATTTAGGTACCACCTGTCAATCGTCCATAAGGCAATCTTCTGTTTCACATGTACACAAAGAAAAAATGTAAAAATTCATCAGTTTTATGCAATACACATATATTGGAAGATAATATACAAAGTACTAGAGTAATCTTTCTATTTGCCAAACTCTTCTTGCTGTTTGTATAAGTGCCAGTAGCTATATACAAATTACTCAGGTCTATATTCTAGAGGGAGTTCCATGACTCAAGCAATAGAGAACAAAGTGCAATCTAGAATACAACCTCAAAAACTAAAAAATGGGCTGTTCTGTTTTGTGTTTATGACTTGTCTGTAAACACTGACTTAAGTGTTTGACAGAGCACCTCTACTGAGCCTTTGCTTCCAGCTATAGTGCACCACTTGATAAAGCAGGTGCTTCATGAACCATCCCAGAACTGAGCAAATAATGTGCCAGGATACTGTGCAGGTGCTGAAGACAAATGTTTGTTCAAGGGCTGAATGAACAATCAAAGGTTCTTTATAACCTGGGCATAACATAAATATTTTATGGGTTCCATGGACATAAAAGCAAGTAGATGTGAAGCCATATATAGAATCTATATGTTGTTTTCTCTTCTTTAAGAGGAATCTCCTAAACATAAGCTAAGTTTCCAGCAAGCTAGGAAAGAAATAAAGATTTTTTTTTTTTTTTTGGCCCATAAAAAGGCCATTATCAGCAACTTAAAAAAAAAAAAAAAAAAGTCCTGTAATAAAGAGAGGAAATGCTTTACATTTAAATACAGTGCATTAGAAACAAAACCATAGGAACTAACATTTCCTGTTCCAATCAGTAACTCTAAACTATCATCACCCACCTTAGTAATCTAATCACAAGACTTTGGAAAAATTAAAGGTAGTTTCTCATTGGGAAAAGGTCATAGACATTTGTTCCAGTGGGTATGACTTATACATCTTCACTACTCTAAATAATTTTAATGATTTAAGTCTGATTACACTAGTCACATTAAAAAGCAAAGCTAAAACATTTAAGGCAATCCAATCCTATATTAATCAAACTTCTTTTGTAAAATCAATTCTAGGCCGGGCGCAGTGGCTCACGCCTGTAATCCCAGTGCTTTGGGAAGTCAAGGCGGGCGGATCATGAGGTCAGGAGATGTAGACCATCCTGGCTAACATGGTGAAACCCCATCTCTACTAAAAATACAAAAAATTAGCCGGCCATGGTGGCAGGCGCCTGTAGTCCCAGCTACTCGGGAGGCTGAGGCAGGAGAATGGCGTGAACCCGGGAGGCGGAGCTTGCAGTGAGATCGTGCCACCGCACTCCAGCCTGGGTGACAGAATGAGACTCCATTAAAAAAAAAAAAAAAAAAAAATCAATTCTAGAATGTTATTTAACCTTAGAAATACTCAAAAGTTGTGATAAATCTAAGAAATCATCTTAATGAAGAGAGAAAACAAAGCATTTGACGAAGTATTATCACATGCTGTTTATTGAAAAGCAATCAAAGCCCTAAGTGAAAGCAGCTGCAGGCTACTGAATGAGGCCCCAAACAGGAAATCTTCCTTATTACTGTAGTTTTCTTTTCCCTTGACCTTAAAAAACTGCAGATCATCACCAACAGAAACGTAAAGAAAGTGGTGGCTCACGCCTGTAATTCCATCCCAGCACTTTGGGAGGCCAGGGCGGGCATTATCACCTGAGATCAGGAGTTCGAGACTAGCCTGACCAACATGGTGAAACCCCATCTCTACTAAAACTACAAAAATTAGCCTGACACAGTGGTGCACACCTGTAATCCCACCTACTCGGGAGGCTGAGGCATGAGAATCACTTGAACCCAGGAGGTGGAGTTTGCAGTGAGCCGAGATCGTGCAACTGCACTGGAGCCTAGGCAACAGAGTGAGACTCCATCCCCCACAAAAAAAAAAGTTAATTTTTCCTAGATATATTGACTATCTCTTGGTACTTTTCTAGTTTCCTTACATTGAAGCAAGTGGAAAATACTATACTGTCACAATTATTATACTGTCACATTCCTCTGTATGTTAACCAATTTGATATTCATGGGTCATGTTAAAGGATAGCACATCACCATCAGAAGTTAGTGTTTAGCAAGCAAAATCCATTCTCTAAGCTTTCTATAGTGTGCTGATTATACAAACCTAAGTATGAAAATTGTTTTCAGAAACTACAACTTGATGACAAGCTCTTTTAAAACTAAACAAACAACAAAGCATGCTGCTGAAATCAGTAATGATTACAAACTGAATATTTTTCACTATGGACTAAAATCCTGGAAATGGTTTGTAGCTCTAATGCCAAAAGACACTGAGGCTATGGTGTCTCTGGCACACCTTTATTGATTTGAGCTTCTATTACCCTCAGGAAGATTTGAAGTCCCATTGTTATGGGAAAAAAAATTCTCAGTCTGCTCTGAAATATAATCTGTTCTGCAACAGCACATGTTTCTGTAACATCAGATAATTCACATATGACTAGTATACGAGCTGTATTCCTTCATATGGGATATTTCATCAGTTAAGGGAGCAGATTAGTGGGAAAATAATTAGGTGACCCTTGAAAACAAGGGTTTGAGCTGTGCAGGTCTACTTATACATGGATTTTCTTCTGCCTCTGCCACCCCTGAAACAGCAAGACCCCCTCCCTCCTCCTCATGATTTTCTTTCCTCTAGCTTACGTTACTGTAAGAATACAGTATATAATACATATAACATACAAAATATGTGTTAATCGACTGTTAACGTTATCAGTAAGGCTCTGGTGAAAAGTAGACTATTAGTAAAGTTTCTGGGGAGTCAAAAGTTATACACAGATTTTCAACTGCCTGTGGGGTGAGGATGAGGGCCTGGGGGCAGCACTCCTAACCCCCAAGTGGATCAAGGGTCAACTGTATCACCTCAAGCAGGAAACACCTCTCAACTCAGCTATACAGACAGAAGTCCTTTTAACTATTTTAAGAAAATCAGAAATTCACGTTTGCACCCAGTCTCCCTCCTCAGAGAAAGGCACCTCCAGGGTAGCACAGCTCTCAGCTAATGTGGCAGGTGGCACTGCCCCTACACTGCCTCAGTGGCAGCCCACACTATCTGCATTACATCAGCACCTACTGCTGACATTTCCATTCAACTTTGTCCATGCTTTGGTCATGTCCCCTTGGGCAGCTTCCAGTGAAGCTGAGCTGCCTGCCTGTCTGGGATATCCAAGTTATTCCCTCAAGATGCCAAGTATTGTGTTTGTTAGTGCTTGCATACTAACTAAATTGCATACATTTTGAGTGGTCTGCCTCAATACTATTTTCCCATAAACCCAATTATTTTGCAATTTTTCAGAAGCATATATAATACATGCTGACCAAAATCCTTGTATTAGTAAAACTTCTATTTCTCATAACTATTGATCATAAATACTATCTTTCTACCATTCCATAACTACTATTTTTTCAACATTCCAATTTATAAAAAGTGTATATCCTCTATCAAGTACATCTTCTGGAACATATAGCTTAAATTATGTATTTATTTTTTTGTTTGTTTGAGACGGAGTCTCGCTTTGAGGCCCAGGCTGGAGTGCAGTGGCGAGATCTCGGCTCACTGCAAACTCCGCCTCCCAGGTTCACGCCATTCTCCTGCCTCAGCCTCCCGAGTAGCTGGGACTACAGGCGCCTGCCAATACGCCCGGCTAATTTTTTGTATTTTTTAGTAGAGACGGGGTTTCACCGTGTTAGCCAGGATGGTCTCGATCTCCTGACCTCGTGATCCGCTGCCTCAGCCTCCCAGAGTGCTGGGATTACAGGCATGAGCCACCGTGCCTGGCCAGCTTAAATTATTAAATTTGAGCATTTGGGGTTTGTTCTTTAAAAAAAAAAAAAAGAGGCCAGTTCCAATGGTTCACACCTATAATCCCAGCACTTTGGAAAGCTGAGGCAGGAGGACTGCTTGAGGCCAGGAGCTCAAGACTAACCTAGGCAACATAGTGAGACCCTGTCTCTACTAAAAATTTAAAAATTAGGAATGGTGGTGTGTGCCTGTAGTCCCCACTACTTGGGAAGCTGAGGCGGGAAGATCGCTTGAGCCCCAGAGTTCAAGGGTACAGTGAACTAAAGATTATGCCAGCCACTGAACTCCAGCCTGGGGCAACAGTGCAAGACCCTGTTTTAGGGGGGAAAAAAAACACCTATCTTAGCTCCTATGTACCATAAATGTTACAACACTCATAGTCTGGAGGAATCATAAAGTCTTTAAGAAAATGGAGACAGGGCCTATAGTGATCACTACTCACAAATCACTAGAATCACATGCTGAAACACTGCTGCGGAATATCAATGCGTGGCTCCCGCTGCCATTAACCCAACCATGATGTTCTCTGC